GAACGTGGGGGCGTGGCCTGCCCCCCCGCGGCTGCTGCCCAATCAGCGCTGCAGCCAGAGCCGCCTCGCGCTCGATCCTCCCGCCCCCGTCCCCACGCGGGGCAGGCTCGGCTTCAGGAGCTGAGGGGAGAGGTGAGAAGGGGCGGGGCGGAGCCAGGCCGGCAGCAGATGCCTTGTGATTGGAGGGAGGGCAAGACGGGGGCGGGGCCAGGCCCGCTGTAGCCAGACTCCGCGAGGGGGCGTGGCCAGAAGTGTCGCCTTCTCCTCCCTCCCAGGGCTCGGGCGCTTCCTGCCGCGGGGAATGCTGGGAATCCGTTTTCGCTCACTCCTAGGTGCCTCACTGGAGTCGTACTCCATCTCCCAGCATACACCGCGCTGCTCCCCTTCCCCGACCCCTCGGTCACATGACTCAGGATCGTCACTTCCCTAAACAAGCCGGCCGGGCAGGAGCGGGATGTGACCCTGGGGCTGGGCAAGAGCCCGGCCTCCGCCCCCGCCGCGCCGCAGCCCGCGGCCCAGAGGCCCAAGCTGAAGCGGTGGGTGGCGCCGCCGGGCCGGGCCTCGCGCTCGCGGAGGGACGGAGGGAAGTAACCTGCCCGTTCCAGGCCAACGGCTGAGAGCGCACGCGCGTTCGGGGGGCACTGAGGCGTTGGAACGCCCGCGGTGGGGGGGGCAGTGTTGGCTGGCTGGCTTATACTGACCCGTCTTTTAATTGCCCCCCACGGGCCTGGGGCTTCTCAGGCGATTGGGGGTAGCCCAGGAGCAGAGTTGTAGCCCTGGCCACCCGCGTTCTGGGAACAGCAGGTATTTTTCAGGGGGATGGGGGAGGGGAGATCCCTCTCATTGGGCCAAGCACCCCGTTGGGATGGAGTGGGGCCAACTTTGGAATGAATGCCGGGCTGTCTTCGTCAGACAAAGTTCTTGGGGTAAATGTGATGCCTTGTATTAGACCAGCTCAAAGAGTTGGGGAAAAATGCTTCTTTGCAGGCTTTGGGTTATAAATACCCTTCATCAGGCTGAGGAAGCATCTTCTGGGGGTGGGGGGTCTGATGGCCAGGCATCCTGAACTGTGGCCCTGCGGTGGGGGAAAGGGAAAGTCCCCAGGGTGCTGCAACAGCATTGGGAGAAGCAGCTGGTTCCTGGGTGCAGTGCAGTTGCATAAGGAGATGAGTTTAGGCTAGGATTGTGGGGCAAAACACACTTCAGGTCACTGTCAGGGGGGAGGGTCATCCCTGGTTTCCCTGCATGGGAATTCAAGAATTTGGGGGCTTTATAACACAACAGTGGCTGATGAAGTGAACACATGCACCTGCACCATGGGTAGAGATGAACATTAGTAGACTTGATATTTAGTGTAGTTAGTCCATAAAGGTACATCTTGTCACAACCCAAGGGTGTGATTTTGTTTGTGCGCGCTTCGGCACTGCTAAATTATT